ATCCCCTCCTCCGTTCACACTGCCGCTCCTGGAAACACACCGACCCTCGTTCCGGAATAAAGAGAGCCAAAATTTTTTAAATCTATAAGTATTATATTAATATTAATTATGCAAAATAGGAAAATATTTTAGTGTTCTCCACTCAAACCCAACTTAAGAAAAGTACGTCATAAACTCGTCCCGGAGTTTAGTATAGTTAGTTACTCGTTTGACTTAAAGATTATGATGAAAAGTTGTTGGGAAGTCATTCTAAAAGAAAATAACTTTTTGACTTACTAATTGTCCCATATTAGTTTGAGAACCTCTATTTTTCCCACCATATAATAGATAACCTCTCAAGTCTCAAGGCCTTTCAAAGCCTTATGGGGAGGGAAGAAAGGAGAACCAGGTGTATGCCGCCACCGCTGTCCGCGAGGTGATTTGTTCAAACACATTACCCACAGTTTTGTGGCCGCAGATATTTCACAGATTGCACTGTCTAAACACGACACAAACTTTCCAGCTTCATTCTTCTTCGTTCCATGCAGCCTGCGTTCGCTTCCTGTGTTCTTTGACATTGTTCTACATATACAACATGTATGAAAAAATGAGTGATTATTATCAACTCTTTTTTAATCAAATCTGTCATATATGATTTTTTAGGCACGTATGGGTCGAGGCCAAGATCAAAGGGTCTTTTTTTTTTTTTTTGTACTCGTTGAAGTAAAGTTTTAGGGTGTTTAATTTGGTCGAATGAACTTAATTAAGCTAGTTTTGTAGGCACCAAAGGGTTGTAATTAAGGAGATTTTAGACATTTTATATTTAATACTTTCATTCTTATATTATTAATATAAATAGTGTTGGATAGATATGATGGTGCGACCACCTTGGTATTTGTTATTGAGTTGGTGGAAAGTTGGAGACCTTTTACTCCATCATTAACAAGCAAAATGAAACTGATGAAGAATTGATGTAAAGCTAGCAAATAAGTGAAATAACATAAAACTTTATTTAAAAAAAAAATAAAGGCAACGCGGCTTAACTTATTCTCCGGAGCACATGTATGGAATACAACTAATAATACTAATTAACAAATTACCAACTGGCATTTCCAGCTAAATATAGTAAAATTTCTCTACCTAATGTTTACTCATGCCTCAATTAAATAAAACCCGCACGCAACCATCTAGTCAACATTAACAATAAAAGCTCCCGCATGGGAAGTTAAGTGGTGGTCACAAAGTTAAAGTTTGGAAACAATAATTCAAGATCGAATTTTACTAGCGATAATATGGGAGTAACTTTTTAAAGTGATGAGGGTTTTTTGTGCATAATAAATAAAAATTTAACTTCTGTGTTCAGATAATTTACATTCTTTCAGATACTCTGTCGTATCAGAGGATTGAAGCCCTTGGGGTTGGGGATTCAACCTTTAGGAAACAACATTAACAATAAAAGTTAACACGGGTAGCCAGTTAGTTCCTACTTCCTACGTGACAAATTATGGGCAATAATACCTAACCGAACCCTAACATGGTGAGAGTTACATTCAATGTTGTAGACTTCTTATGGACACTTTGGTCCTCCCTACTAATGGATCAGTGAATCACCCTAATTTACCATATTCACAAATTCAGTTGAGTTGCAATCAGTGTTGAAAAAGATGCTAAGCGCCTGATTTTTAAATTTGACACGACCGAGCGCCGCCTAACGTCTAGGTGTTATTTTTGCAACACTGGTTGCGGTGTGGGTCCAAGACTAGGGATTTTGCCATTGTGGACAACATTAACAATTAAACGAAGAAGACCGGAACATGGTCTACGTTGGACTTTGTAAATTCATTAGCAGATCGAACTCACAACATTGACCTCAGATCTGCTCTCTCTCTCTCTCTCTCTCTGTTCTGTTCTTTTCATCAAGATTTCTGCACTTCATTGATTGACGGGGAAGAAGGTGCAAAATGTCGTCGACGCATCATACCAAGACGGATTCAGAAGTGACGAGCTTAGCTCCTTCATCGCCGAACCGGGCGGTCTACTACGTGCAGAGCCCGTCGAGAGATTCCCATGACGGCGAGAAGACCACCAACTCCTTCCACTCCACCCCCATCCTCAGCCCAATGGGCTCTCCGGGCCGCGCCTCCCGGGACTCCTCCTCCACCAGATTCTCCGGTTCGCTCAAACCCGGCTCCCAGAAGTCCAGCAGTGGGTCCCGGTCAAATAGCCGGCGCCACCACCACCACCACCGCAAAGACGAGAAGCAGTGGAAGGAATTTGACGCCATAGAAGAAGAGGGACTTCTTGATGAGGGCCATAGCCGGAAGGGCATCCCTCGCCGCTGCTATTTTCCGATGTTCGTCGTCGGCTTCTTCCTGCTCTTCGGCTTCTTCTCTTTGATCCTGTGGGGTGCTAGCCGGAATCAGAAACCCGTAGTCACCATGAAGGTAATTAAGCTCCATTCATTTCCCCTTATAGATCCAATGGTTAAAGATTTAATACTCATTCATTCTTAAATTCATCAAATTCTTACACACCCGGAGTTTCTATAATGTCATCAAAAATTTAGAAAACTAGGTCAATTTTTTCATGTGACCCTAATCAGCAAAAGATCACATCAATGTAAAGTAGTTTAAGTTATCTGATCAGCTCAAATTAAAGAAGGGCAATAGACCTTTGTCAATGGGGCTAATTTGACTTGATTGTCTCATTATACTAGTTTAGGTTATCTGATCAGTTCAAATCAAGAATGATAATAGACGATTTAGACGTTGGACTTGTACTTTTTTGAATATCAATTACTTTGATCCTTGTGAATATTAATTAGTCTGACCAATTTGGCTGGGTTGTCGCATTTTGCAGAGCATTTCATTTGATGAATTTGTGGTTCAAGCGGGGATGGATCACTCCGGCGTTGCGACGGAGATGGTGTCCATGAACTCCACCGTGAAGCTTGTGTTCCGGAACAAAGGCACATTTTTTGGGATGCACGTGACGTCAACGCCGTTAGATCTCTCATTCTCCGAGCTCCCCGTCGCCACCGGAACAGTAACCTAGCTACAACCCTAAAACTTTCCGTCCATTTTTTTACACAGAAACGATCTGAACTTGACGTTTTGTTGATATTCCTTGTCAGATTAACAAGTTCTATCAATCAAGAAAGAGCCAGAGGACGTTGACGGTGACGTTAAGGGGGAAGGGAATCCCGTTGTACGGCGGGGGAGCTGACTTGAACAGCATGAATGGAAAGCCGACGGCGCCGGTGCCGTTGACCCTGGGTTTCACGGTGCGAGCGAGGGCTTACGTATTGGGCCGGCTCGTGAAGCCCAAGTTCTATAGAGAAGTCCGCTGCTCGGTTATTATGGACCCAAAGAAGATGAACAAGGCACTGCAGTTGAAGAACAATTGCACTTACAGATAATTTCTTCACCTACTTGTGTAATATAGGAATGATAGTGGGGGCAAAAATAAAACTGGAGGGTGTTTTTTTTTTTTTTTTTTTTTTTTTTTGAAATTTTTATGATGTTTATTTAATTTTTTAAAGAATTATGGAGGACTACTTAATTAAATTGGAAATTTTGGATGCACTTGTGGATGAGTTATTAAATTCTTTTATACCTCTTTCTTTTTTTATTATTATTTTTATTTTTAAACTCAATTTGATTTTTTTTTTCGAGTGATTAGAGAAACTTGTAGTCACTATTTGAAGATGTACATTGGGTAAATCTTGCTTTGTAACTCTAGCCGACAAACGATCAACATGAGATAAACTAATTTAAACCCGCACGGATTTAGCTCACTAGTTCAGTAAACTATATTTAGAAAAAGAGACCAAGGTTATTCGAACTTCGGCAATGACAGTGTGGAAATTATGCCCAAAGTGGGCAAATCCCTTGTATGTTACCGTAATTTACATCCTCCCAAATGTTCTGTAAGACCAAGGTGAGGGGGCCCTTGGGGTTGGAAATTCAACATTTTCGAAGAAGGAAAGAAGAGATAAACCAATTTAAGTTACCTATAATCGGTCAACTAAAATTAAGAACGCCAATAGGTTATTCCCGCATGGAGTTGAAGTCAAATTTTGATCAAACCCTATTCAATGAATTCTCTCAACAATTAAATATATTATGTGGGAGTTGTATTTACCTTGTGAACTTTAAAATATTTCCTTTATTAGTCCAAAGACCATGCAAAAAGTACTAGTTAGTTGGGAATCCAAGTTAACTTGTATGTATAATAATAATAAGAAGAAACAGACTAACATATTGAGCTTAAAGTTAATATCAAAATTATTTAAATTTAACCAGAAAAGAAAAAGATGATATATATATATATATATATATATATATATATATATATATCGTACGAGGGGTAGAATGCAACTGATATATATAACGGAAAATGGATTTCAAAATTTGTGTTAAAAAAGATCTCAATTGGTATTGTAAAGATAACGGCCCGAGAAAATGACCAATAGAGGGACATTAGGTGCCCTTTAGAGTGAAAAAGCATTAAAGGATGATCGGGTAGACTTGCCTATCTCGAGAGTTATCATTTATCAACGATGAGAACTATATGTACTAACTAGGCTACACGGTACTCATGATCAAAAAAATGATAAGCCGTCTTTTATGAATTATGAAAAATTATCAATTTCTTAGTCTATATCAAGTTAAAGTGAGCAAGAAGGTATGTATGGGTTGTAGGAGATGAGCAAGTTGTAACACCCGGACAATATTCTTACGAGATTCCGAGATTTGCTACGCCACTTAGAATTTTTTAACACTTGTACATATCATCCCTTAGTTTGTAGAATAGTTTGGAAGCATATACATAGCACTAGAAGATGTAGGGATACTTTAGAATATTTCTAAAACATTAGGGAATCCTCTTAGTTTTGTAGAGAGTTGGAGAATTCTAGAGAACAAATCTTAATCATAGGATCAAATCAATCTCCACCATCCATTGAGGAGATGCTCGAGATGTTAAAAGGGAAACGAGTCCATGACAAAGTGCCAAAAGCATTTATGATAACACCATTTCATCTTTCATGCATACTCAATTCCCTCAATATGTTATGTACATTAAAATCAAAAATCAAAAAATCTTCCTAATCAAATTTAATCAGGAAAACTGAATAAGGAATGAGTTGCACATAAAAAATCTTTTTAAGCCCTGAATTTTGAAGGTGCCATCACCTAACGCTGATCCAACTGTCACCATCTTCAGACCAGATGGGTAGGTTATCACTAACTAGTCCCGGCAGCCTCTCCGCCGGCGATTTGGAACGAGAATATTCCGGCTCCGGCGAGGGCAGAATTGTCAGACACGATTCAAGGAGCTCTGCTTCAGATACCCAATCCTGGAAATCAAATGGGCATCTTGGAGAATTTGACGGAGAAGAAAGCTCATCATCATCATGATCCGCCACGAATGGGTGACTCAAAAGCATCTCCGCCGTCCATCTTGTTCTTGGATCCTTTACAAAACATTTTCCGAGGAAATCTTTCCCTTCCTCCGATAGCTTGCCGGGGATTTCCGGCACTTCCTCCCCAACCCCAATTCTCATCAACAGTCCCACAGCATCTGAACATTTCCACACCGGAGCTCCGGTGACCATTTCCGCCACCGCACATCCAAGAGCCCATATATCCGCCGCTGTCCCCTGTTCCCCTCCGGCGACCATTTCCGGCGACATATACATCGGAGTTCCCCTCAATTCAAATCCCGAATTCCTCACTCCCTCCCGGTCCCTCTTAGCCAACCCGAAATCTGCGATCCTAACTCCACCATCGTCGCCCAAAAGAATGTTCTGAAGCTTAATATCACAGTGAACATACCCACTCTTATGAACAAAGGTTAGCCCTCTAACCAACCCTTTAGCATACCTCCGAGCTTCGAATTCCGACAACCTGCGATCGTCGGAATTCTTAACCTTGTCGGCTAAACTCCCCTGAGAAGCAAACTCCAACAACACATTGTACAATTTCTCCCCCTTCTCAACGCTATACCCGCCGCCAAAACACCGGATAATCTCCGGACAACCTTGGAGCTCCTCCAACACAATTCTCTCGTTCAACAAAGAAGCGGCGCTCGACGCCAAGCAAGACTTGACAACCATCGCCGCCGGTGGAACGGCGGCGCTGGTCTGACTTGCCGGCACTGCCAAGCTCACTTTGCCGAAACTCCCATGGCCGATCATTTCGCCACGAACCCAATCCATGGCGATTGGTGGGGATGGAAAGATTGATTGAACAGAGAATTTTTGGGTTTTCCGATGATTAAAGAAATGGAAAGTCACGAATTCACTGTTGAGTTTGATTCACATCGAGTGGAATTTATACAGCAGGGGCGGAGGCTATTTATCCCATCCCAGCACGTGATCTGGAGAGGATTTTGTTCTTCATAACGTACAACGTCACTTTTCGCAAACGTGGGAATAATTAAAAATTACCTATTTTTAACACATATCAAATCTGTGAATATGATTGGGCCGGGTAATAATTATAGATACGATTATTTATACAAAATATTACTCCCGTATCGTGAAGTGGATTTTATATATATACGATGTATCATTTTAATTACAGTTCAGTTTCTTTTGATAATATTACTATATTTTCTACTTTCATTTTTTCCTTATATTAATACTAAACTATCATTTTAATTCTACTATAGTTTCATTTGATAATATACATTAGGAATAAGGTTCAAATTGGCCACTGAACCTAACTTGAAAATGCAATCAGGTCACTGAGCACTCCAAATGTATGCAGTTTTACCTGATAGCAGGTGTTACCATCCATTTCAGCAGGTTACTTGCTTACGTGGCAGTTGAGTTGGCATTTTAAATAATTTTTAGTAATAATTTTTTTAAAGAAATTTAAAATTAAAAAAAATTGGATGAATTTATTTCTATTATCATAAATATTACTTCCACCGTCTCATTTTATGTGTTTGGTTAAGTTAACGAGGCTTGATTGAAATTATTTTTAATTCAATTTTTCATAATATTAAATTTACTATTAGTATAAAAAAATTTATATATTTACGAACTACACTAAAAGTACAATTAAACACAAAAAATCAAATTTAAAAATAAGTACAAAATACTAAAGAAAATAAACAGAGAAGAAAGAGTTATTTTGATCAATGAATAATAAGTAGGACTGATAAAATGGGACAGAGGAAGTATTATACTAACACTAAACTTAATGTTATGAAAAATTGAATTAAAAATAATTTCAGTCAAACCTCGTTAATTGAACCAAACACATAAAATGGGATGGAGGGAGTAATATTTATAATCAAATTCAAGTATTTAAAAAAAAAAAACAAAACAAAACAAAAATCGCTGGGGTTGGCCACCTCGGCCTTTTATTTTTTTTAATTTTTTTTTAAAAATATTAAAAATGTCAACTCAGTTGCCACGTAAGCAGGTGACCTGCTGAAATTGATGGTAACATGCTATCAGGTAAAATTGCATACATTTAGAGTGTTCAGTGGCCTAATTGCATTTTCAGGTTACGTTCAGTGCCTAATTTGAACCTTATTCCTATACATTATTGCATGAGCTCTATTTTTTTTTTGTTTTATTTTCCACACACACTAGTTTAATTATAGTAATGTTGAAGTATTATTTTAATTACACTTCAGGTCATTTGACAATATATGTTATCGTATGCCTCTGGGTTTTAGTTTCATTTTCAATACACACTAGTTTCGTTATTGTAATACTAAAGTATCATTTTAATTATACTATCGTTTCATTTGACAATAATGTGCTCTGTTTTTTAGTTTCATTTATGTGTTCTGTTTTTTAGTTTCATTTTCACACACATTTCTTTCATTATAGTAATACTAAAGTATCATTTTAATTCTACTACAGTTTCATTTGACGATCATAGTCTATATAGCGATGTATAGACCACGGTCCACTATATAACAAAGGGCATAAAATATTGTACAAAAATAATAGAAAATACCATTCAGCCGACACTCTTGTATTGCACTCAAATTAAGTGAAAATGAATAAAAAGTAATTTAATAAAAGAAAGCCCACACCACATTTTTCCTCATCACGTACAATTTATATTTTGGAAAGCTTGAGCAACACAAAAATACAAGTTGGGGCGTCGCTGTCTTTATAAAAGCGCACATTTTATAGGAGCATTTCTTTATGGTCCTCATTTGGCCTCGATTGTGTGATGCACACCCCTAATTTGCCTCACAATCATTTTATATAATGATTTAATGTCAATGTACACGTCTCTTTAACTGAACTAGACACAAAATTAGACCCAAAAAAAATTATTTTATATTTTATATTTATTATTAATTTAGTGAAAATTAAAATATAATAATTTTAGGAGGGAGTTGAAGATCCCAAGATTAGTCTGTTAAAACTGAGATATCTTCTGTAAATAACAAAGAAATGAGATATGATAGTAATGGGGTGAGAAGAGGAGGCAAGTTAACCCAAGTGAAACAAAAACCAAGGCATATTAGACACATGCAATTGTGTGCAGCAAAAGAAATCCTTATTTGTCTATTCAAGAAAAGTAATACTAAACCCATTCTGCTAAGCTGTACATTGCAAGAGGTCACAAGGTCATACGTTAATTAAACAAGTTGATTTGGTAGGACTTCTATTCACGTTATATATATATATATATATATATATATATATATATATATATATATATATATTATTTAATTTTTTTATTATGCACATTAAAGGTTTATAAACTATTGATTAGTATTGTCACGTTAATAGATTTCAAAATAAAATAATTATGATATTGGCATACTCCAATCGTTTATCTTTGTTCTTATCAATCATAAAAATGCCAATTCAGATCATTCAATTGTTGGCAAATGGTCAATTCGACCTCTTAATTATACACGTCACATCTTTGATTCTTGAGTTGTCAAGACTTTGACAAAATCCGTCACTCTGAATACAAGATGCATGTGAAAATTGTGTTGTATCATTTATTTTAATTTAATTAATTTTTTTTGGCAAGTAGTTCTGAAACGACACCGGAGCCATGCATTATGTGGAATGAGTAAATAAGTAGGTGGAAAATAAAGGACCCATATATCTCCTACCGCATCGGAATACCTAATTAATTAGCATATATTTCAGTACTACATTATCAAATGACCTTAAATTATTTCATTTTAAGAACAAATGCAAGTTAGATTTTTCCCCAATTTTAATATATAATGTTTGATAATCAAATATCATATGATCTTAAAAAATCTAAACATTAATGGTAATCGACTTAATTAATAAAAAATTTATTGACAATTTAAGCTGATATGGAAAATCTGATCGATCAATTTAGTATGTGTAATAATTACATTAGATAATTTAGGTCGATATAAAAAATCTAATTGATTTGGTCAAAGAAAATATGGTTGATCAATGTAATATGGGTAATAAAAATCTCATTTAATCACTCCTTTCAACCCAAAAATAAGCTAAACATTAATGATGATCGATTAAATAAAAATGTATTGACATTTTAAGTTGATATGGAAAATCTGATCAATTAATTTCATATGTGTAATAATAACATTAGATAATTTTGATCGATATAAAAAATTTAATTGATGTGGTCAAAGAAAATCTGGTTGATCAATTTAATATGGGTAATAAAAACCTCATTTAATTACTCCTTTCAACCCAAAAATATTATACAGACAAATTTAGGTGAATATATTTAATATTTTGATTAAGTGGTATATTTTCATTTTTTGTGCATAATAAGTGCTTTTAAAAATTTTTCCATTATTTTTGTTCACAATAAATGTAGGGTACTTTAGGTAATAAAATAAACTTATAAAAGTTGTATTTATGGACAAAAGATATTTTTTGGGGCATAGTCTCAATATGACGTGTGATAATCAAATAACACTCATGTTATTTACATTTTTCAATTGTGAATAATTTTAGTGCAGGGTGTTGACTCTCAAAAAACATAAACATTAATGGTAATCAATTTAATACAAATTTTATTGACAATTTAGGTTGATATGGGAAATCTGATCGATCAATTTAATATATGGGTAATAATGATATTAGACAATTTAGATTAATATGAACAATCTAGTAGATTATTCCGAATATGTTATTTGATTATCACACATTATATTGAGACGTCCCCAAAAAAAAAAATCTTTGTTTTTTACATTATATTTTTTGGGGCATCTCAATATGATGTGTGATAATCAAATAACATATGATCTACTTAATTAACACTCAGTGTAATTTATATTTTTAAATTGTGAATGATTTTAGTGCAGAGTGTTGACTCTCAAAAAATCTAAACTTTAACGGTAATTAGTTTAATAAAATATTTATTGACAATTTAGGAAATCTAATCGATCAATTTAATATGGATAATAATAACATTAGACAATTTAGATCGATATGAAAAAACTAATTGACATGGTGAAAGAAAATATGATTGATCAAATTAATATGGATAATAATAACCTCATTTAATTACTCCTTTCAACCCAATAATATTATTCAATAATATTAAGTGATATATTTTCATTATATTGTAACTAAATCTTGTTGATCAATTTAAATCTTTTTGATTATGAATGATTTTACTGTATTGTGTTGACTCTCAACAAATCTAAACTTTAACGGTAATCAATTTAATAAAATCTTTATTGACAATTTAGATGGATATAGGAAATCTTATTGATCAATTTAATATGGGCAATAATAACCTTAGACAATTTACTATCGATATGTAAAATCTTGTTAATCAATTTAAATCTTTCCGATTATGAATGATTTTAGTGTATTGTATGTATTCACTCTCGAAAAAATCTAAACTTTAAAGGTAATTAATTTAATAAAATCTTTATTGACAATTTAGATGGATATGGGAAATCTAATTGATCAATTTAATATGGGCAATAATAACCTTAGACAATTTACCATAAATCTTGTTGATCAATTTAAATCTTTTCGATTATGAATGATTTTAGTGTATTGTGTTGATTTTAAAAAAATCTAAACTTTAACGGTAATCAATTTAATAAAATCTTTATTGACAATTTAGATCGATATGGGAAATCTAATTGATCAATTTAATATGAGCAATAATAACCTTAGACAATTTATGATCGATATGGGAAATCTTGTTGATCAATTTAATAGAGTATATTTAGTATACTAATCAAATATATCAATTTAATATAGTAAATAATTTAATAGAGTATATTTACTATACTAATCAAATATGTTTTCATTTTTTTTTTAAACTGAGGTGATCCAGTTTCGCTGGGC